CCCGGTTCAGTGGGCTCATATTCAACATCGGGCGCCACCCGGGTCATATAGTCCCCTTCCTTTTCATCATCATCTTTCTTCTGGGGGTCTGCAGCCTCCTTCAAGGGCTCCTCAACTCCTGGGGGTTCTGCGGCCTCCTTTAAGGGCTCCTCAGTTCCTGGGGGTTCTGCAGCCTCCTTTTCCTTCTGCCGTTTCTGCTTCTGTTCTTCCTGCTCTCTCCTCAGCAGCTCCTCAAACTCCTCCTCAGGGTCTTTCTTCCTTGGCCTGCCTCGCTTCTTGGCTCCTGGCTTTTGGGACCCTATCTCTTCTTTTGGTTTCTCCTCATTTTCTTCCCAGCCTGGGAAATCATCCTCATCATCCTCCTCGGGCAACTCTTCTAAGTCGTCACCCTTCAGGCCTGTAGGCCAGGTGAACGCCGCGACCAGGACAAAACGAGCATGGTCTTTGCCCAGGTCTGGAGCTTTGGTGAGTGGTCCGGCGATGTCGACCGAAAGAACGCCAGCTCTTGGGGGAAGTTTTTGACGCCGGTGAGGTCTCGCTCTTGCTGCAGCCTCTTGACATACCTTGCAGTCTTTTCTGAAAGGCTGGTGGCATCGTTGGACATGTGTCCTCCAGGATCTCAACTTTGGGGTGATCCCTTGGGACTCCAGCAGGGCGCATGCTACCATGTCGGTAAGCAGAGGGACCCATCTGGAAAGGCTTTGGGATTCCTGCACTATCTGCTCTTTTGTTTTGCCATGTGTGCATCGAGGTTGTGGTGCTGGTACGACCACGCTGGGTACTTGCATGCGCAAGTTGCCGCCCAACGTTGTGGGTTTGACCCCTCCTCCTCCAAGCTTCCCTTGGTCTAAGTGGATCTCCCACAGGCCGTATGCTTGCTTGAGTGCTTGCCATTGGGGGGTGGACCAGAACGATACCACCTGTGGCATGTTTGCCGGGGTGCTGGGGTGCTCAAAGACAAGGTCGATGTCTTTGGTGTGGCGGGATGCTTTCCTGATCTCCTGGGCAACCATGTAGAGCATGAGTCCTCTGAAGAGCATCACATCATCTTCATGGCACTTCTTCTCCTCTCTTTCTCCGATGCCCTTCTTTCCCCATTCTCCACCGTTCCACTCTCGGACCGGTCCAGGAAGATCAACTCCTTCAACTTCATAATGTCGGAGCTTTGAGCGAGTGCGACAATTTGGAGACATCACCAAGGACTCCACTTGGCCCTTGATGACCATGTCCATGAGCTCAGCATAGAGGTCATCCTCCATCATATCCCATTTGGCTCCGTTCTTGATGTCCACCGCTATGACCTTTCTTTTCTCTCCTCCGAGGAGCTGAATGGCCTTGGCCATAGTGTACCCTTCATTGGGTCCTGAGTAGAGGTACAACGTCACACCTCCTTCTTTCTTCCATAGCTTTCTTCGGCTTCGGTTTCCGGTGATATGTCCTTCCTTAGGGCTGATCACCAACCTTTCTGTGATTCTTTTTGGAACTCCTTGAAGTGCTGGGTGTTCTTCTACCAAGCGCTTCATCCAGTCCATGTAGGCTTCAGCTGCGGATCCTTCTACACTCCTCAGCTCGGGTGCCTTCTTTTCCAACTCCTCGATCAACTCCAAAGCATCAGACTTGTTGATCATCGGGCAACCTTCTTTGAGCTTGGTGCTAATCTGCCCCTTGAAGGGGTGATACAGGACCATATGGCCTTCGGTCCATTGCAAAGAGCAACCCAAGTTCTCCACCAACGCTCCCAGTGGCACGATGGGCTCCACATCCTCAGAGCCTATGATGGCACCACCTTCTGAAAGCATCATCATTGTTTGTTTTCCTCCGGCCAGATTGATCCTCACCTTTTGACATTTGGACAGATCCTCATCTTTCTTTGGAGGTCGAAGAGGATGGGTAGCTCCGCTGTCAAGGAGTCCCAAATCTTCCACAGCTGCTTGGACCCTGGCCAATCGCAGCACTCTCACCGAAGAAGCTCGAAGCTCATCCAGCTGTCTTTGAAGTCTCCTGATTTTGGCATCACCGGTCTCCTCAACCGATGAGCTTTCCTGCGAAGCTCCTGGAATCACCTTTAGCATCTTTCCAGCTTCTTCCAGTAGACTCTTCATATCGTCCGCTCCAGCAACTGCTCGGTCGGACTGATTGTCCTCCTCATCATTCTTCTTCTTTCTGGCTTCGCCATCTTTTTCGGCTTTGGCCACTTTGACTTCTCCTTGGCCCTCACTCACTGGACATTTGTTGGAGAAGTGCTTTGTGGACCCGCAATTCCAGCAGCGACGCTGGTCATCCTTCTGGTTGTGATCCCATCTGCAAGCTTTTCCTCGACGGCATCCATTCTCCGTCAGGAAGTACTTACACTTTGGCATCTCCTTCTTACCCTCATCGCCCTTCTTGGCTTGAGGCACTTCGCTTCTTTTCCCTGCCTCCTCCATCTTCCGAGCTTTAGGAACTCCTGCGATGGCTGCCTTTTCCTTCTTTTTGGCATAGGAGACCTGGTCCATCTCAGCCAGTAAGCATTCGGCCAACTGGTCAATGGAAGACATAGTGGGCACAGAATCCACCATCAGTGTTGTCCTCGTCAGGTTAATGCGAAACTGCAAGGTTGGATTGCCAGCCAAAATCTTGGAGACCAGCCGGTCCAGGCCCCTCAAAAGGACCGATGGATCGGGCAACTGAAGGCCCATGTCTTCTGCCCTTTTCTTCCATCTCAACAAACGACGTAGTCCCAGGATGCCCTCGCCGATCCCCACCGCTTCTGCCGGCAGCTCCAAAGCGGCCAGCACTGCTGCTTTTTCATGGGAACCACCAGGCTGGTAGTTGTTGAGGAGTTTTGCCAAAATCGCCAACACTGAAAGGTCTTTCCCTGCCACAATGTCATCACGCTGACTACTGGGCAAGGCCTGAAGAAGCAAACGGCTTCCTCTCTTCTCCAACCTTCTCCATTTCTTCTGCTGTAGTTGCGGTGGTGCCCTGACTTCATGCTTCAGCTTGTCGATGGGCTTCATGGCTTGGTGTTTGTGGTACCAGTCCTTCGCAGTCTCAACCACTAGATCCCACCAGTCTGAACTGCTGGTAGTGAGATCCGACATCTGTGCATGGATGAGAAGCAACCAGTCCTGTAAGTCCACCGGGGCATTCTCAGCTGTCCACTCCGGCAGTTTGTGCAGCTCTACACTGCTCCTCACATGCTCCTCTTCATCGTCCTCTGTTAGCCGTCGGCCCCCGATCGTCTCTCGATCCAAGAGCTGTTTTTGCAGCGATTGCATCCCTTGCATCAACTTGAGCATCACGTCCACTGTGGTGTCCTCCTTTTTTGATCTTCCTTTGTGATCTTTCACATTCACTGAATCTTCCGACTCCTCTTCTTGAATCGATTGACTCTCCTCACTGGACTCTTGCTGTCCAGCTGGACCATCCTCCTTAGAAACTTCTTCAAGCTTCTTTCCAATCACTTCCTCCTCTGCTTTGGGGGTCTCAGCCTCCTGTTCTCCTCGACTTGCATCCTCCTTTGGCTTCGAAGCTTCAAAGTCTTCCTGCTTGGCTTCTACACCTTTGGACTTGGGCTTCTTTCCTGAAACCTTCTGACGGCGGGCGCTGTCACGGAGACCTTCAGCAGGAGTGACATCGGGAGGTGTGGTGTATCTAGTCTCTCGTTCTTCCATAAGCTGAATCCTCAACCTCAAATTTTCTTCTTGAAGCTGGGTGAGAGACTTTGACATTTGTCCCATTTCTTGTCGAAACTGCCACATCATCTCATCAAACATTCCTTGTTGTGTGTGGTGTGGCACGTATCCATAGCCATGTTGAGGTGCTAAGGGATATCCCATTGGTGACATCATCAAGACTTCCGGACCCTTCCTTGATGGTCCCTCTGACATGTCAGCTTCCTTCCCCATTCCCACCTTCCCTGCCGCCAAACCCCCATCCCATCCGCCGGTGGACTGGCTTACTGCGGTGGGGCTTGGGCCCTGCAAAAGTGGTGCACTCAACCTGAGCTCCTCAGCCTTCTTTAGCTCAGCTTCATTGAACAGTGGCTGGAGGTTCCTAGGTCCTAGGGCCTTAGGGGATCCTACAGGTTCTGCTGGAAAGTCTTCTATTGGCAAGGGGGTTTTCATATCTTCCCCAACAGGACCATTTGGTGAAGGCTTTCCAACCCTTTCCCTATCCACTGCCACTAGAGCCATCTCTGCCCCTTGGTTCCTCGCGCTTGCCCGGGTGCTTGACGCTGTTTGGTCTTTCTTTGACTCTTCATCATCAGGCTCAGACCTTCTTCTTCTGAGCATGATTTCAGCAGAGTCCCCATGCGTTGGGCTCATAACCTGTTCGCGACAGGTTCACCCGGGTAATATTATTGGGGGTACTAGCACTGACAGTCCTGACACGTCTGCGGCCAGAAAAGCCAGGTACTAGTCCACACCTCAAACTCCTTGCGTTAGACACACAAAGTCCTCCACGGTCAGACAAGTGGTCCTGCGCTTTTAACTCTCTTTCCAAAGTCCTTCACGTTGGATTGACCGGTCTTCCGACCGATCTTTGAGCTTGGAAAAAGGGCTATGGTGAAATGCCCATTGATTGAAATGACAATTGCAAAGTCATGACATGAATGCTAAATAGGGAATATGCAATTCGCAGAAACCACCAACCAGATATCGTTGGATCCACCTTCAATCCATATTGATAAGGAATGACAAAACATCAATCAACATAGGGGATGGTCATCCAACTAACGTATTGATACTGGGGATATCATTATCATTCCCAGATGATATATCTACCATAAACCATAGTGACATTGGAACTATGAACGCACCAACTCAGCGATTCACTGGGGCACCTTGTTTTTTTCCATTCTTGACCATTATTATAGCTGTTATGAACCACAATTTATATGGACCTGAAAAATGGTACGTTTACGTAGCTACATCTTAGGATCCTGAAATTCCCATTGATCCCACTTAATAAGTCATCAAATAGCTCACCGCATCGTTTTTTTGTTGTTTTTCCAGGATACGCTGAGAGGGATGATCTTCAAACTCATGGAGAAGATCGACAACAAGGTCATGTCAGCGACAACGCTGGATTCAACATGGGGATTTAACAACAGTAATCCAATTAATTAATGGGTTTAATGGTGAATCCCCATGATTGAATCCACATTTAAATTCAACATAAATGGGAATTTGACATAATTATGGTGGAATTGTTTGTTACTGTTGGTGGATTTAACCAACACTAATGGGGATTTAACATGATTTAACATGATTTAAGCAACAAGAGAATGAAGCTTAGGATCTTAGGAAAGATTTCAATGCGCCATGGCGCAATGGCTCAAACAGAGATACCTTAAAAGTCCCCCACACTTACAACATCACTGCTGCTTGATAGTTTATGGTTTTCTACAATCTCTAATCTTTGGATATCTTTGGAATGATTTTCAGTCATCTTGGAAGAAGATACAAAAACCATCTAAATTTAAAAATTGGGTAGGTCTCCCATCCAACTCCAATCAGCTATGTATTAAATTGTTCCATGTGGGCTTTTGGAGTTCAGCCGACTGCGAAAACATCCCATCATCCCATCCACGCGAGGATTCTCAGCGTTTCTACTTGTTCAAGATCCTGCGGGCGCATATTCTGCCTCTGACCAACTGTGCCTTCAATAAGCCCGGAGCCCAAAAAGATCACCAGGTGCCTGGACCAGAAAAAAAACTTACCCTTGGTGTCATCAAACGTGGTTTGTTGGACAATCCCCGAACTAGATGGAGGTTTCGGGAGGTTTCGAGCTGGAAAAACTATCCGGAAATTCAAGAACTTCCATTGCTATGTTTGACTACCGGAAGGTATAGCTGACCTCGTTGGGTGATCACAGTGCTTGGTGGTTGATGCATACACTTGGACGACTCAGCCAATGGTTTGTGTGCTGGACAGGAGTCCCACTTTCTATCTTCAATCGCCAATATGTTGACCCTTCGGCTGGGCTTCAGGTGCTAAACCCAATGCCATAAACCTACCATTTGGGTTTGTCTGAAAATAGTGTACCCCTACACCCAATGGTTAATGATCATTATCCCTACTAAATGGCTATAATTGGGGGTATACCCCATTTTCAGACATACCCATTTGGGGTATGGCTAAAATTGGTGTGACTTGATCTTGGGTGAGATTCAGAAGGTGGTTTGCAAAAAATCCATCCAACATAGACACAACATAATTTGCTGATGTTTTTTTTCCAATGAGAAATCCATGTTTTTTTGTTGGCTGGGTTGATCTTCAGCAACTCCAAGTATATTCCAGAGCGACACGCCATACTTTTTCGAGCAGGTCCAGGTGATGATGATTTTTTGCCACGTTGAAATATGAGGAAACACCAGGTGACCATAAGCCATCATTGACACATATTGACAAATTCAAGGATTTTAATGAGTCTGCAATGGCCGCAGTTGGTCATCTGGAGTCACAGGCCATTTCTAAATTGGCTGCGAAGTTGCAGAAGTTGCAGGCGACCCATGATCACGATGGCAATTGCACCTGCTATCACAGCTGCTGTTGGGGGGACCTCAACTTCTACTGCCTTCAACCGGCCCCCCAAATTGCTCCCCAAATTGCTGGAATGTTGAAATAACCAGGAATCGTACCAGGAAGCAATAGCAACTGCGCAGTGCAGAAATCCAAGTCACGACAGTTGAGACAAGGTGGTGACACCCAGTTATGTTTGTATTCTAACCTTAAGTTAACTAGTTCAATATATCATACACCCAAGAGTTAGTGGAGTTGTAAATCAACTTAATTAGCTATCCAAATCTCAGTAAATCCCACTAAATCCTACTAAATCCCAGTAAATCCTATGGAATTCCCATTTTTGCTGGTAAAATTTATCACCTTCCCATGAGCCCCCCAGGTCGGGCTCGAAATTTATCACCGGCTCCTACGACCGGACCTGTCGTGTCTGGGATACGTTGGCTCGGGGCTCCCAGAGGATTTCAGGGAGCTAATTCGGAGCAATTTTGGAAGTGGAACCATAAAAATCCTAAAAAGCGCAGGTATTTGATGGAACTTGAGTATTTTAGCCAGTGCAAAGTCGCTGTTTCCCTATTATTTGCATATGTTTTCTTGCAATCCAAGTGGTTACACTGAGCATGAAGTGGGTTGGCGATTGCAGTGCCGTTTGCTAACAAGTGAAGCAAAGATGGTGCCCTTGCAAACACATTCAATTCCAGACTTCTTTCCAAGCCCACAAAATCTCTTTGTGCAACTGGAGTCGGGCTGGGGATCCGCTTGAATTGTGAATGATGTTGATTTCAAAAGTACTGCCTAGGACTAGTTCGAGGCTTGCAACCTTCACATCTGTATACACATAATGTATATGAAGTAGAATATAATGCAAATGTAATGTAGCACCCTAAGCTTAACCTATCTTAAACATTCTTAAACATGCTCAAACCACATATAGATAGTGCACATTCTCAAGTCTTTACCGATGATGTCTTTACCGTTCATCCCTGTGGTTGACGTCTCTGCCGCAGAGCGGTGAAGAGCTCTTGACTTTAGATGGTCACAAGATGCTCGGAGCGATGCCGGTGTCCAACAGGGAGACAAAGCAACGATATGCAACGATAAAGGGGAGATCACGGGGGATATGTCATGGAAAAATCGAAGAACAACAGGCGATTTTGGGGAAACAAAAATGGCTGGGAAGTGTTTTTGCCAGGTGTGGCCAGACTTGAGTTTCCAAGAATCCATGTTTTTTTTTTTGGGGGGGCTACTTTTTGGCTACGTCATTTCAACACCATCTGGGGATGACCCTCGCTCCTTCTTTTGTTTGGGGAAAATGGGATATATATAACCAACAGATATGGCTGCGAATTTATGCTCCATCAGCTCCATGGCTATGGTAGCTGGTGGATTTTCCAGCGCGAAAAAACCGAAGAGGTAAGGTCTAGTTTTTTTGGTTAGGATTGGTGATATGTCTACATATAGTTCATGATTATTCTGCAGATTACACATCTGGGTAAACTATAACGACCTCACTGTTCTCCCTCACTGGAATCATGGTTAGGATTCGGGAAATCATCCCTCCCCAAATAGCCTTAATTCAGATTGGTGAAATATTAAAATTTACCCATATATATGTAGAAATAAACAAGTATAGCTATAGGGGCCTATCCCAACTTAAAGGGCCTATCCAAAAAATCACCATGATTTTTGTTTGTAGCCCTTCGCATCCTTCGCATCCTAAAAGCCTCCTTAGTTCGCGCGTGACAAGGAATGTGGTCTATGCAATCGCTTTTAACAATCCGTTTGGTGATAAGGTGGGTTTTTTCCGGAAGCGACCGTGCTTTCACAGGAAAAACTTCTTGATGTGAAGATTGGTTATTAAGGACCTGTTGTTGTGGTCATTACCAACAAAAAAAGAGCTTTGTGGGTTATTAGCACTTTCCATTTATTTCTGCCAGATCAAATGACTGAGATGCTGGAAGTCCTAGGTTTCATTTGAAAAGCACATGATTGCACATGATACTGTATGTGCCATTCTGGCTGAACAGTGATATTCGCTATCATGTGTTGCAAGAACCGTAAAAATGGGTTGGATACCCAAGATGATTTGGAATGATCAGACATGTTCACCAGCAAGGCATATATAGTTAAATCACATCTACCGAAATCTGAGTCTGAAGGGCATGTAGATGAATAGAAGTGGGCAAATGTGGGCAACTGCTTTAATTTACGCACGGATACTTTCTGTTTCAGCCCCAGAATTAGGTCCAAAAGGAGATGGTTCGGCCTGAAAAAAAAGGAAACAAAGTCAGTGATCTAGGGTCAACCTTGCCTTCTGCAGCGACCTCAAATTACTTCTGTTTCTGTGTTGAACCAACCAATCAGCGATTGGGTCGCGTCTAGGCGTATTGTGGATGACATCTTCATTGTTGCATATACATGTACATAACTGTACATACATACCGATTTTCGCTTATATCATATCAGTTGTTGTATTGGTATTATTTTGTTCTTCAACAAACCTTAGTTATCCTTAGTTCTTTAGTTTGTTCCCGCCCCCTAAAACACATAGTTCCCGCCCCCTAAAACACATATTCTATTACACATGATTATGCCATATTATACCGTATTCACTAATGTCAACCCAGCAGATTCCTGCTTGAGAAAGTCGGGGTGCGGCATTTTTCTTTGTGTTCTTACGGAAGCCATTGGGGTGTCCTCTTCCCTACTCGCCGGTGGTGGCCTGCCCATAGTTTGGCTGTTTGAATCCTGACTCAACTTCATATTTTGATGAGTTATTTCCAGATTTGATATCTGATACCTACCTTTTGAGTCATTATTTTTTCAGAATCTCATTTTTGTTGGGAAAAGCTCATGGTTTTCCGTTTTCACGTCAGAATCCCTGAAGAATTTCCCCTTGTCCCGCTCGAGCGCGATCCCAATCTGCAGATTATCACGGGGAGCTTCGATAAGACGGCGAGGCTTTGGGATGCAAACACTGGCCAGTGACTGGACTGCGGTTGTCCATGACTTTTTGGGATGATTTGGGGTACCCCCATGGAAGCCTTCATATGTATATATGTATATATATATATATGATTCTATATGTATGTATAATTATGTATACACCTCCATAGTAAACATCTTTATTTGGTAAATCAGCATTTTTATCGTCGAAGTAAATGGGCAATTTTTCATAGCTATGTTAAGTAACTAGAGAGATCACATGGATGATATATTTATGAATTTACAGAATGTATATATATATATATAATTAATATACATATACACGCATTAGTGTCTATGTACAAACATAGTATCATAATGTATGTATAGACGACATAAATAGATACATGATATACCTATGTATGCAAACAACCATATTTCGTGGGAATACCAGCCAGCGATTTGCGCCCTGCTTAAGATCAGGATACCTTGATAACAATCCCATCAGGTTTTAAGATGTTTTAACTAGATATCATAATTCCTGAATCTATACACAATACCCAAAT